CGCCCCGGCCTCTTTACATCCCCTCAGCATGGCCTTGGATTTCCAGAGGCTCCAGCCAGGTCAGCTTTGTCCTGCACCCCCTGAGCCTGGCTGGGGGTGCTGGCTTGAACAACTCAGATCTGAAGATAGCGGGTGGGGAACGGCGGTGGGGGGGCACTCTGTATGGCTAAAGTTGCGCATGTGCACACATACATGTGCGTGGGGAACACACATGGGCTGAAACATGTGGACGCATAAGCAGGTATTTGCCCATGTCCCCAAGATGCCCCTACCCGCCCCGCTTCCCACTCGCCACACGCAAGTGAGTTCACCTTCACCCAAGAGCGCTCCCGTTGGGGGCTCCGTGTGCACGCGTCCTGGGTGCTTGCTTGGGGGCGTGTGTGCACACACGGCCGCCTGCACGTCCGTCTACTTGCGTGCGTCTGCTTGCACGCCCCTATGCTGGCGTTCTGAGCCAGCACGCACCTGCACGTGCACCTGCATACAAATGCCGTCCCCAGACGTTCCCAGCCGGAGGGGTGGGGTGCAGACAGAGGGCTCTCCGACGGGGCGAGCTTGGCCACTCAGCCTCCTCCAGTACAACCTTGTGGCCTGTGGCAGGGGAGGAAACTGAGGCCCTAAGGAGCCAGCAGCCATGCCAGATGGGAGCGTCCCTGCCTGACTGCTTTGTGCCCCCCTCATCGCTCCCCCCACCCCCTCAATCCCTGTCCCGCCCCTCAGCCCAGACCAGCCCTGCAGGGGACTGGGAGGTGTGAGTCTGCCTCTCCTGGAGGTCCTGATCATCACAGCTTCTGTCGCTGTGTCCGCCTTTACTCCGAGAGGTCATCGAATGCCCTGTTCACCTGCCACCTCCTCAACAGAAACTGCTGCCTGGACTTCTTTGGGGCTGTTTCCCTCCCTGCTTCCCTTTCCTCTGTTCAGCCCTCTGGGGCTCAGGGCTGTAAATTGCTTTTGCTTTAACAGCAAAGGTTTAATACTTTTTTTTTTTCTTCTCAACGCACTCTCCTGGAGTTTCCCAGGAGGAGGAGCATGAGGTAGAGGTGGCTCTTGTGAACAGTCTCTGGCTTTCTTTGTCCAAGGGTGCATTTCTCTGACCCAGTCTTCGTACCCCTGGCCACTGCCCGGGGCGAGGGGAGGGCGCACTGGGCTCTTCCTGCAAATTAAGAGAGCCTTGCATGGGCGCTGGAGCTTGCTGCCTGGCTTGCTGGGTGATTGGGGCAGGTCTCCCCTGGTCCGGGGCTCAGTCCCCACCTGGAAGGTGAGGGTCTGCTGGCTGTGAGCCCTGTGCCACCAACACTGCTCTTCTGCATCTCGGGCGTGGGCAGCGTGGCTCACCGTACTTCTTCCCCACCAGACGGCCGGGCAGGGACCTGGTCCCCACTTACCATATGGCAGCACACGCAGAGATGGTTCACTCCCTCTGGCTAATTGGGCTGCATGGAAGGGGCTCCAGGCCTCCTGACTCCTGGGGCCTGGGAGCCTTGATCCTGGCCCAGGCTGTGCTGTGTGACTAGGGGCAAGTCCCTGCCCCCCTCTGGACCTCTGACTCTCCAGCCACAGAGGGGATGCAGGGCTTCGGCCACACTCTTTGGGATGCCACCGGCTTTTCCACCTGCCTGAGGCCTGGACTACAGGATCGAGGCCCTCTAATGGAAAGCACTTTGGGGAAGTGATATTGGGGGGGTGTGTCTGGCTTCCCAGACTCGCCCTCTCTCCCGTGGCTCTGCTCCCGCTTGTAGAAGGAGTTCTCCCCATGCCCTCTCCCTGTGGGAGACCCCCGGCTTGGGGGGCTCACAGCCTTGCTGCTCTGCTCCCCCTCCCCCATGGAAGCTGAGACAAGGGAATTATTTTTGGAACAAGAGCGGTTACACAACAAATGAATTATTTATCTTTGGGCACGGAGGGGAGGAGGCATTTTGCTGGGCTTCTTAATTCTTTTCCTGGATTGGAAGGTGCCTGCCTCACTACACGGTCATGTGTATACGGGCCCGTTTGTCCAACATAAGACTGTCCGTGGGCACGCTGCGGTGTTCCGGCTCATGGGAGGGCATGTGGGTCTTTGTGCCGGCAGGTGGACGAGTGTGGACAGGAGTGCTGGGGAGTGTGTGTGTGTGTTGTGTGCGTGCACGCACGCGCACCCGACCTGTCACTGTCCAGTCTCCCTTCTCTGCCCACCGTCCTCAGATTCTGTCCCCCTGTCCCTACTCCTTGTTTCTTCTGTCTCCTTCCTTCCAGACCTCTTGGCCCCCTCCTCCCTCTCGCCACCCACCAGCCTCCCTTCTTTTACGTAACAGGGACCCCAGCGTGCTGCGGGCACCAAGGACCCCCAGTGGGAGGGGGTAGAGAGGGGACAGGGGCCCGTGCTGGAGCTTTAGTGGGGCTGCTCTGAGCTTTCACTGATCTGTCGCCCCCTCTCGGTGCTGCCTTTCAGGAGCCAGGTGACAGATGGGTCTCTTCCTTCCTGCCCCATCTCTCGCGCTCCCTCCTCAGAGCTTCACTCTCCAGCCTCCCGTGGGAATCGTCTGAAGTTCTGAGCCCAGAACCGGAGGAGGAAGAGGAGGAGGAGGAGGAGGAGGAGGAGGAGGGAGAGGAAGTTGAGTCTCGAGAGCCTGTGCACCTTCCCAGAAACAGGCGGTGGGGGTGTGTCCCGGTGTGTGTCCCGGTCCCGGTGGCCCACGCCTGCTGCTAGCGCCCCGGAGGACCCCCCACCCCACCCCGCAGTTGGCACCGGCCGTGTCTGCTTCTCCCGGGGCCCCTGTGCCGGGGGTCGCCCCCAAGATGGTGGCGGCCCCAGGGAGGACTGTGCCGCCAGCCCCAGCCTCCCGCTGCTAGGTGCCCCCCACGCCCCGGCCCCCCTGCCCCCCTAAGCCCGGCTTTCCCCGGCGGGGGGGGTGGCCGCGGCCGGCGCCATGCTGCGCCTGGGGCTGTGTGCTGCCGCCCTCCTGTGCGTGTGCCGGCCGGGCGCTGTGCGCGCCGACTGCTGGCTCATCGAGGGCGACAAGGGGTACGTGTGGCTGGCCATCTGCAGCCAGAACCAGCCCCCCTACGAGACCATCCCGCAGCACATCAACAGCACCGTGCACGACCTGCGGCTCAACGAGAACAAGCTCAAGGCCGTGCTCTACTCCTCGCTCAACCGCTTCGGGAACCTCACCGACCTCAACCTCACCAAGAACGAGATCTCTTACATCGAGGACGGCGCCTTCCTGGGCCAGTCGAGCCTGCAGGTCCTGCAGCTGGGCTACAACAAGCTCAGCAACCTGACCGAGGGCATGCTGCGCGGCATGGGCCGCCTGCAGTTCCTCTTCGTGCAGCACAACCTCATCGAGGTGGTGACGCCCGCCGCCTTCTCCGAGTGCCCGAGCCTCATCAGCATCGACCTGTCCTCCAACCGCCTCAGCCGCCTGGATGGCGCCACCTTCGCCAGCCTGGCCAGCCTCATGGTGTGCGAGCTGGCCGGCAACCCCTTCAACTGTGAGTGCGACCTCTTCGGCTTCCTGGCCTGGCTGGTGGTCTTCAACAACGTCACCAAGAACTACGACCGCCTGCAGTGCGAGTCCCCGCGCGAGTTCGCCGGCTACCCGCTGCTGGTGCCCCGGCCCTATCACAGCCTCAATGCCATCACCGTGCTCCAGGCCAAGTGCCGCAACGGCTCGCTGCCCGCCCGGCCCGCCAGCCACCCCACGCCCTACTCCACCGACGCCCAGCGGGAGCCCGACGAGAACTCGGGCTTCAACCCCGACGAGATCCTCTCGGTGGAGCCGCCGGCCTCGTCCACCACGGATGCGTCGGCGGGGCCCGCCATCAAGCTGCACCACGTCACCTTCACCTCGGCCACCCTGGTGGTCATCATCCCGCACCCCTACAGCAAGATGTACGTCCTGGTCCAGTACAACAACAGCTACTTCTCCGACGTCATGACGCTCAAGAACAAGAAGGAGATCGTCACGCTGGACAAGCTGCGGGCGCACACCGAGTACACCTTCTGTGTGACCTCGCTGCGCAACAGCCGCCGCTTCAACCACACCTGCCTGACCTTCACCACGCGGGACCCCGTCCCGGGCGACCTGGCGCCCAGCACCTCCACCACCACCCACTACATCATGACCATCCTGGGCTGCCTCTTCGGCATGGTCGTCGTGCTGGGCGCCGTCTACTACTGCCTGCGTAAGCGGCGTGTGCAGGAGGAGAAGCAGAAGTCGGTCAAGGTCAAGAAAACCATCCTGGAGATGCGCTATGGGGCAGACGTAGATGCCGGCTCTGTGGTCCACGCCGCCCAGAAGCTGGGCGAACCCCCCGTGCTGCCCGTGTCCTGCATGTCCTCCATCCCCTCCATGATCGGGGAGAAGCTGCCCACATCCAAGGGCCTGGAGGCCGGGCTGGACACACCCAAGGTGGCCACCAAGGGCAACTATATCGAGGTGCGCACGGGCACGGGCGGGGACGGCCTGGCCCGGCCCGAGGATGACCTCCCGGACCTGGAGAATGGCCAGGGCTCGGCCGCTGAGATCTCCACCATCGCCAAGGAGGTGGACAAGGTCAACCAGATCATTAACAATTGCATCGACGCCCTCAAGCTGGACTCGGCCTCATTCCTGGGGGGCGGTGGCGGCGGCGGGGACCCCGAGCTGGCCTTCGAGTGCCAGTCCCTCCCCGCGGCCGCCGCCGCCTCCTCGGCCGCCGCCCCCGGGGCGCTGGAGCGCCCCAGCTTCCTCTCACCCCCCTACAAGGAGAGCTCCCACCACCCCCTCCAGCGCCAGCTGAGCGCCGACGCCGCCGTGGCCCGCAAGACCTGCAGCGTGTCCTCCAGCGGCTCCATCAAGAGCGCCAAGGTCTTCAGCCTGGACGTGCCCGACCACCCGGCTGCCGCGGGGCTGGCCAAGGGCGACTCCAAGTACATCGAGAAGGGCAGCCCCCTCAACAGCCCGCTGGACCGGCTGC